CCCAAATTTCCCAAATTCTCACACTGGCAGCCGATCTGGTGGGTGGCGTTGAGCAGACGCACGCACGGCGCTGTGCGGTTCAGAGCCACGTAAATCTTCCTCTCCACAGAGTTCCCGCCGAAACTGCCTGAGGGGAAAAGGGGGAAAAAAAACATTTCCAGGGGTTTTTGGGATTTCAGAGACACCAAAAATTGGGAATGGGGTGGGGAATGGGGATAGGAAAGGGAAAAAAGTCCTTAAGTTGGGAACAAGGTGAGGAAACGCAAAAAGTCCCAGGGATATCGGGTTTGGGAATGGGAGGGACTTCGAGCCTCAGGAGGAGACCCCAAAAGGGTCAGAGGGGACCCAAAAAAGGACAATGAGGAACTCAAAAAGGGTCGGGGGGATCCAGAAAGGATTGCAAGGGACCCGAAAACGGCAATGAGGACCCCAAAAAGGGCAATGAGGAACCCAAAAGGATCGTAGGGATCCCGAAAGGATCGGGAAGGACCCGAAAAGGATCGGGGAGACCCCAAAAAGGGCAATGAGGAACCCAAAAGAGTCAGAGGGAATCCAAAAAGGTTTGGGGAGATTCCTAAAGGGTCGCAAGGAACCCGAAAAGGGTCGGCGGGGACCCCAAAAAGGGCAATGAGGAGACCAAAAGAGTCAGAGGGGACCCCGAGAAGGCAAGGAGGACCCCAAAAAGGGCAATGAGGAGACCAAAAGGATTGGGAGGGACCCGAAGAGGGTCGGCGGAAATCCCAAAAGTGCCCACGGAGAACCAGCCCCTCCCGTTCCCCGTTCCCGTTCCTCACCCGCCGCCAGCGCGGCCACGAGCAGCACCCGCAGCGTTCCCGAGCGGCTCCAGCCCCTCCCGCTCCATCCCGGTCCCGTTCCTCGTTCCCCGCTCCATCCCGGTCCCGTTCCCGGGGCTCACCCGCCGCCAGCGCGGTCACGAGCAGCACCCGCAGCGTTCCCGAGCGGCTCCAGCCCCTCCCGCTCCATCCCGGTCCCGTTCCCGTTCCTCACCCGCCGCCAGCGCGGCCACGAGCAGCACTTGCAGCGCTCCCGAGCAGCTCCAGCCCCTCCCGCTCCATCCCGGTCCCCTCCGCTCCCCCGGCTCCGCCGCCATCACCGCTGCACCGGCGGAAGCGGAAGTGACSGAACGGACGCGGAAGTTTCCCCCGCCCGGTGCCGTTTCCGGGGCGGAGCGGCGGCGCTGACGTGGAGGTTCCGGGGTTCCGCAGAGGCCCCGCGGCGATGCTGACAAAATTCGAGACCAAATCGGCGCGGGTGAAAGGTGAGGGGAAAATGGGGTGAGGGGGGAA